TAGAAACCCAGAGCGAATAATCTAATTAGCTAGATAAACGAGTTGACTCGCAGAACTGATAATCTCATATTTAGATTAATAGATATCAATCTGGTTTATAAATCTACTGGTCGTTTAAAACTTTATCTAAATCCTTTTTACACACACTTCGAAAACGCCAAGAAGCGGCCGCCAGTTTGTTAACAAGCGCTCACTGCTAGGCTACTCACTATCCATAACAGAATAGATAGTGAGTAGCGTAGCGAATCAGAGAACGCCATTCGCAATAGAACGCTAGTAGATTTATACTAATATGCCATAGAAAATACAGTGGTCAACACAATCGATCTAAGAATCGTCGAGTATTCAACTGTTTTCCTGCATTCTGATTGGCTGTATTTTCTATGCAATGGTATTAAAGCGATTTTTTTATCCATGTGTGAACACTAAAAGCGAAAAGCGTATTTGTCATGGATTGACCAAAACTTTGATATAGCATGAAGAATATATCTGAATTACATGATTGGTTTTGTGGTGTGTGCTAAAACTCGACTTCGCGAGTTTGTGCAGTTTTTGCAGATAGAAATGTATGAGAGACATGACGTTACGTAATCTAGTTTGCTGTTTTTCATGGCATTTCTCGAAATGCGTTTGTCTTGATGGAATTTTAGCTACTGAAAAAACTATTTTGCTACTTATATTACGACTAATAAGAAAAATGTTTTCGTGGTTTAACAAGCCATTGCTTTGATATTGGTGTTCAGTGTACAAAGTATTATTGTTTCAAGATAAGGAACTTACATCACGCATCCGACAACTGACTACATGTATTAATGTTCCGACCACACTAATTAATGCGTTTTTAAGAGTATCCATTTTCGTCTCAACGAAAACAAAGCAAAATATTTTCTACCACGCTAGCCTTTTTGTTTTGTTTTCACCTGTCCACAATGGTTCGTTTTCATTCAAAAACACATACTTTTTGACNTTTTTTTTTTTTTTTTTTTTTCACACGTCCACATTGATTCGTTTTCATTCAAAAACGCATATTTTTTGATGCGTTTTTACCTATTATTCAGACTAAAATGACCGAAAACGCTGATTGAAACGACAATATATGACGCTTTTTTCGGTACCGTTTTCAAAAGCCTCCGTTTTCACCTATCCAAACTGGAAAAGGAGCGTTTTCAAAACTACGCTTTTTTAAAAGGTTCCACTTTTGAAACCGTTTTCAAAAGCCTCCGTTTTCATCAGACCTTTCGGGTTTTTTTTGTAGGAATATGTCTCTTAAAATAGACAGACATGTTACGCTGGAAATAACTCACTTTGTTTTCTATGGCGACAATCCCATTATTTGAAATGTAGACGATACAGCGTGCCTTTATTTAACTTACACGTGATATGTCTTGACCCATCTACGGCTTGGCTTTCATAAGCGTAAGTGCAAGGTCCATTCAACTACACTTACTCTGCAGACATCCTTTGAGGTTCGTGCGACAGTTACGCGTGACTTGTTAAAATGCTCCTATGATCAAATTGTCGATATCCATTTCTTTACATTTTCGTGCACAATAGGTCTTGCCTAGGTATCTTGCCAAATTTCAATGTATCGCGAACATTAGAAACGTACGTTTTTGGACCTTTTTCCGAGAATTTACGGCCGCCATTAATTTTCCTTGTTCCAAGTCTTGGTTGAGAATTGGAGTATATGACGTCAGATTCTCAAAAATACCTCACGGGTTGAAATTAAAATAACAATTACTATAACAACTCGCATAAAGAATAACAAAAACTTCGGCTCTTATATTCGTGCAATTTTCTACACTAATTGTTGTTATAATTTCAACCCGTGTGGTATTTTTGAGGATCTGACGTCATTTGCTCCGATTCTCAACCAGGACTTGACAGAAGGAAAATTAATGGCGGCCGAAAATTCTCGGAAATAAAGGTCCAAAAAACGTGCCTTCTACTGTCCGCAATAGATTGAAATTTAGCATGCATAATATCTAGGAAAGACCTATTGTGCACGTGTACGAAAATGTAAATAAATGGATATCGAAAATTTGATCATAGGGGCACTTTAATTACATCGCAAAGAACGTTTGCGTGAGAGGGTGTTAAATCACCGAGAAGAAACAGACATCCAAGTTCAAAAGGTTTTGAATCTTATGATTGCGGTGGCGTTTCTTAGCGTTCAGGTATGCACGTGTTTTTCGCCTTCATTACTTATGAAGACCATGCTTAAGCAGGTGAGATCAAGGGCGGGAGAAACTCCCAACCTGTCGACAGAAATTTTGAAAAGAACGTACCAAAATCCTGCTTTGTGGGTGTGGCTTGAAAATATTTTCGCTGTGGACCTTTTGAGGCTGAACACCCTACCCTATAAGATACGAAGAGCATCCCTGTCCCTTTTATGCGCGAGTTCCCTGCGGGGGAGAGGCGGGGGCGGGGGGGCGAGATGCGAGACGAGAACAATAAGACTTAGATTTTGTTGTCAGCGCTTCAAACTTTGGAGAATTTTTCTGGTATGTCTTACTGAGCTAAAAGAAAATGCTGGAATAAGCTAAGACGATAGAGATTTGTATAAATTTCTCTATTCTGGGCCATTGAGCAGAACTGCAGAAAAATGAAAATTTCAGTATGTTGCTCGAGGCAACATGTATTCCTAATAGCCGAGTTGATAGACTCCTCGGGAAGTTTGTAAAGGATTCTCCGAGTAACCTTCTGGACATTTCTCAAACGTTTTGCAAATGTTTCCCAAGCGTTCGGGAATATTTGGAGCTGATTTGAATAATCTTCGGTTGAGTGCTAGATAACATTCGGAAATCTTCGGCTGATCTTCGGTGATCAGAATATGATTTTGACGTGCCGCGCATCGGTGTTGCCTGATTAAAAACCAAATTGTCACTTCGTATACGGGCCTATCTCGGTAGTTGATAGGAAAATAACAGATCCCGCAGCTAGAAGTGACGTATTTTTGGTTAACACCTAAGTTTTTTTTGTACAGGATTTTCAGACGAGCAACTGCCGACGGGTTTTAGAAACCAGTTCAGAATCTCCAACACAAACAGCGCTATCGCAAGAAGTGCCAGCTGCAAAGTGGCGCTGTTTTATGGCGGGAACTAAAATCAATTTCCCGGATGAAAATAACTGGACTTGGAGAACTGTTGGCGATTTAGACATGGAGGACATTTTAGCAGATCTGTTTCAGGATGGACTTCAAGTGGTTGATTATGAGAGAATTAACGCAAGACACAACGAAAACAGCGTAAGTTGAGTTTTTTGAATACTCAATTACTTGATTTGAGATCGTTTTTTCTAATGTATCTGGTTACCACGCTTTTATTACAGGAGAAGACCATGCTGAATAAGAGATCATCTACGTTATGTTTTAAGCTGAAAGGCAAAACAAAAATATTACTTGTAAATACGTTTCGAGCCCACGTCCTTTGCCAAAGCGATGCTTTGCATCTGGGTGAATGAACCGTGAAGATTTCCCCCTATTATTTCACTCATAGTTAACATTCGTGAGTTACTTCATAGATGTAAAATATCAGGAATTTTCTCTGTTTCGGTGAGAGGTGGGGGAGGGTGGGTGTGGAACTGGATAAGGACTAGGTAGTTCAGATGAGCAACGTACATAAACCAAGGTACATAAATCACGGTACATAAAAGTACATAAATCAAGGTACATAAACCAAAGTACATAAACCAAGGTACATAAATCAAGGTACATAAATCAAGGTACATAAATCAGTTTAAATTTAGAGCCAGTTCACAGTCCAAAACTACTTTTCAGTTCCTTTCCGAAGACGTATTTGACATTAACGTCACGTGTTTTTGTTTCTTTATTCATTTCTGTATCTATTGATTGATTGATTGATTAATTGATTGATTTATGATTGATTGATTGATTGATTGATTGATTGATTGATTGATTGATTTGTTAGCAGGAATGGATCGTCTCCTTTAAATCGTGTAACGACCAAACGAGCCTGCAGGCGGAGATCACCGCCGACCATCCATTCTTTGTCAGGGGAACAGGCAAGCCAAGTTGGGCTTCGTTCAGTCCTGCTGCCACTGAATTGCGTCATGGGATAAGCTGTCAGATATTACAAAGGGGTGACGTTTGTGTGTTGCCATGTGACTCAGATGTTCCTGGAAGTTTTAACGGAACACAACGTGAAGGCGACCAAAAATCGTAAGTCCACTTGGAATTTTTAATTTCTCTTCAAACCTCTCTCTTAATCTTTGATATTTCTTCTTTGTGCCACATTTTGTTTACAAACCTTTTTTACATATTTTTTAGGTCTGAATTCACTGCTATGGATTCAACAGCGGTACTTACACTTAGCAGCATGGCTAAGGTATGTTCTAACGAATTTCACAGCCAGATAAAGGAATTTGGACGTGCGTAGCCCTTTATAAGCTGTCCAGTTTGGTACCAGAGATGAGTCAATTTGGGGGAAGGGTCTCAAAAAGATTTCATTAGGGTTAAAATTACTTGTCATAGTTCAAAATGGGGGTAAGCAAGTCTAATTTCAATTGTTGCGTTACGTTACGTTACGTTACGTTACGTTACGTTACGTTACTCCAGGTTACCATTCAATTCCCTTGCATGTGCACTACACATCTTGCAGCACTGACATTCCTCACTGGTCCTCAGTAGTCTTTAAGGAAGCGTGAAATAACCTAATTCCATGGTTTTGCAGAAAAAAAGAATTGTATGTTCAGCTGAAAAGGCCAAAGTTTCTGAATCAAAGTTATTGCGAGATGCTGCCACACTGAAACAAAAAATCATTCAAATAAAAGAACGTAATCCTTCACAACAAGAAAATTTCTTTTAAGGTTAGACAACGTTTTATATTAATGACAGGATAAAGAGGAACACAGCCACCGCCGAACCAAGCTTCTGTCAGAGTCTCATTGTCCTTCAAGCCCAGTGAAAAGAAACAACATAAATCAGTTTACCAAGAGGCCAATGAACGCATTCATGTTGTTTGCTAAACGCTTTCGAGTGGAAATTACCCAGGCCCACCCTGGGAAAGATAACAGGTAAACCCTTAGAGTGCGTGTCATATTGACGTGTGGGCCTTAAGCCAATCAGAAGCTATAAAACAGACCATACCTGTAACTGCTTTAGCTAGTCAAGAGAGAACCGAGGATGCTCTCTTTGTCTTATTTGTCAAACTCATTAAATATAAGTATAAGATAGACCAGTTTTGTGGTTGATTTGAGAGGTAGGATGTCGGGGACAAATTAAATTTGTATAGCTACAGAGTGGGTGAATCATCGTTTACGCTGAATGCATTTAGACTCAATCACGACTTTCGTAGCCCCCATAGTGTTACGTTATCTAGATAGTTTAGACAATATGATGCGACTAGAAGTATTTCTACTCCCCTTTGTTTGAGATTCTAGTCCATCGCAGGGTTAGCTCAGAATTTAATTCCTCGGTATTCATTTATAAACCCGGATGGATACAAGTACTGTGAGAGTAAAAAGTCTTGCCCAAGAACACAAAGCGATGGGCCCGGCCAGGGTCGAACCTAGACCGCTCGATCAGGAGTCCAACCCGAGTCTTATTAATTACTGTGTTGTCAAATTCTGAAAATTAGCCTGAAAGAAATTTAATGTTTGCTTTGTTCAGAGCAATCAGCGTGATTCTGGGAGACAAGTGGAAAGCCATGAAGCAGGAAGACAGAAGAGAGTATGTTATTCAAGCCAAGCTCTTGGCGGATGAGCACAAGAGAGTCAATCCAGACTGCTGGAAGAGAAAGAGAAACTCTGAGGTCAGTCAGCAAATTCTCTTTACTTATCTCCATAATTTCCTTATAGGACTATTTGGGAAACTTTCGTGGCGTATTAACCCACAAACATTTAAGTCAATATATGTTTCTCATTACAGGACTTTATACATTTCTTTAGTATTAATCGGGAGAATTTGATCATTCATAAAGACATTTTCCATCTTTGATCTTTCAGAGCTAATTTTTTCTCTCTTGCCTGGGTATTGAATTTCATACATGGAGAAATTTTTTATTGAGGGAAACCTTTCAGCCAAATGAATATTAACTTAGTGGAGAAAAAGTAATTTTAAAAAAACGTGGCGTGAAAATCGTCGCTGAAATAAACCAACAGAAAGTACGGCAAGGAACCCCGATAAAATTAATTGAGCTTAACTCTGAAAGACTATACAATATATCATTGCAAACAAAAAGCACTATAAAAGCAGTACTCAAATTCAACTGCAAAGCCTACAAAGTTTATAACTTCTAATTTCTTTGACATTAATCATTTATTACTCTTAATCTTCGAGCCCAAAGTTCTTTCGAAAGAATTCCGTAGTGTGTGATCGAACTTCCTTAGTTCCTAGGCCTCGATATTTCGCCTCGACCAATGGTTTTCGGTTTTGTGCGATAACCAAGTTCAATAATTGTTTTATCATTCGATCACAAGTTTGTTTTCATGTTTAAATTACTCTCTGACAGCTTAGGGAAGATCTGCCATTTTTCACCCGAGAGCGTGGTTAAAATTACGCATGAGCAGAATATTATTTGCAGGAAAACACGTTTAGACGGTACTACGCGTGAGCGGATCATTATTTGTAGGCAGTTATTTGCAGGTCACGAGGTGGGCTCTCGGCCAATGGAAAGGGAAGAAAATATGCATCGAATGGTAATAATAATTGACACTTCTAAATAGTCCTTTGTTTCTTATTCTTCTTTAGGGTTCATCAAAGATAAGCTACAGGCGGCCATAGGAGAGTGCGACAATGGTTTATCCCGGCATAGCTTAATATATTTTCCGTCTAGATTTTCTTGTAATATATAACTATATATTTTTTGCCATAAGCGGAGTATTTTTTCATTGTTGAAAACACGAAGCAAGTCATACCGTGTATGACGTATTTAAAAAAGCATTCTACCTTGTATATAGTTTGAACATAGTTTTGAAATGCGCATATTTGGGTAATGATATTATAGAGTATGAGAGGACCTTTGNAGTTTGTTTTCATATTTAAATCACTCTCTGACAGCTTAGGGAACATCTGCCATTTTTCACCCGAGAGCGTGGTTAAAATTACGCACGAGCAGAATATTATTTGCAGTCAAACACCTTTAGAGGGTACTACGCATGAGCGGACCATTCTTTGTAGGCAGTTATTTGCAGGTCACGAGGTGGGCTCCCCGCCAATGGAAATGGAAGAAAAAATGCATCGAATGGTAATAATAATTGACACTTATAAATAGTCCTTTGTTTCTTATTCTTCTTTAGGGTTCATCAAAGATAAGCTACAGGCGACCATAGGAGAGTGCGACAATGGTTTATCCCGGCATAGCTTAATATATTTCCCGTCTAGATTTTTTTATAATATATAACTATAGTTTTTTGCCATACACGCAGTATTTTTTCATTGTTGAAAACACGAAGCAAGTCATACTGTGTATGACGTATTTAAAAAAAAGCATTCTACCTTGTAAATGGTTTAAACATAGTTTTGAAATGCGCATATTTGGGTAATGATTTTGTAGAGTATGGGAGGACCCTTTTTTAAGTTATTTAGTTCTTAGGGCAACTAGCTGCAAATAAATCCAAAGGCTTAAAAATACCCTCAATGTGTGTGGTTTATCTCAAATAATGGGCGTATTATCGTAGAGGGCGCATATTTTGTTCGCAATTATTGGGGGCAAGGTTAATGCCTAAAGCAGAAATCTGTTATTGATAATGCACTATTCCATATTAAACCACAAGCCGAATTCCACTCTCTCTTGGTTACTCTGATAGTTTTGCTGTTAGCGAGACTAAAAAAAAACAAATGCCAATTAGAGGTTATATAAGTTGGCTGAAAGCTTGTGGGTAAGGTTTGCTGATTACATTTCTTTTTGTACGTTTCGTACTTGCTCAACAGATGGCGCTTGAAATAAGGGATTTTAAAGCCTGGTTTTCACCAGCAACGCAAGCACAAGCGCAAGCACAAGCGCAAACACAAAAATTCTTGTTTCACCGTGAAAATGGCCTTGACGTAGGCATGAGCACAAGCGCAAACACAAGCACAAGGATCAAAATTTTTCCTTTTTCTTGCGCTTGCGCTTATGCTTGCGTTGGCGCTGCAACAAGTGAAAACGAAATACCGCTCAGGCATAACACAAGCTCAAGGATATTTGCCACACGTGGTTATGTTTGGCCAATGAAAACACTGGATCCAGATTACCTCGCACCTGAAGAGTTTTCTAAAATGGCGGAAGGTTCGGATGATTTTGCTTGTGCTTGTATTTACGTCGAATTTCGTTTTCACTTGGGTCATCCCTATTGCTTGCGTTTGTGCTTGCGGCTGTGCTTGCGCCGCTAATGAAAACCAGACTTCAGCAAACCACGAAGGCGACGGCGAAAGGTTTAATGAGTAAAACAATAGCTGTGCACGTGCGTTTTTAATCTTTGTACATTTCTTTGCCGTCCTCAGCAAACAAGAATGTGAAATGACCAAGTTCTGCGTCATCTGAAGAACGCGAACGACGACGGCTAATTTTTCGTATTTCTATTTGGAATTGAACGCTGTCATCGCATATTTAGCCTGAGCGCGTGTTTTAGAACCATTGGCGAACGGCACAGATCCTCTCACCGCAGACTCTCCGCAGAGGTTCGAATGTTCGTTATATAAATCCGCTGTGCGAAGTGAGTGCACGCGCAATGTCGAACGAAAAAAACCCTTTGAGCAGTGCCACGATTTCTTTGATTTTTAGTGACA